CTGCTGATCATAGGAATTTCCATAGCAGAACATAAATGAGTTTGGGGCTTAGATATATATATATATATATATATAAGTAGAAAACACATAGGACTTGGACAGTTAGATTATGATAAACAAAATGGAAAGAGTCCAGTCCTTATATCATTTACATGCTAATATAGTTCTATGTACAAACTGCACGGTACAAAAACCCATAGTTTCACTTACAGCAGCACTTGCTGTTTCTTTACATATAGTACATAGCTTTTTAGATCAAACAGTGAGCCAAGTCTAGGTTTTGGGCAGAGTTCAAATTTGTCTTACCAAGGTTGGCTCTAGGCCTGCACTTGGATTAACAGATGTTTCCTAGGCTCCCAAAATGTGTATGCTGCCTGTAGTTAATTTCTACCTGTAACCACAGGGAAATAATAATTCCATAAGCTGTAAAGCCCAGTAAGTCTAGTAAAATATTTAACTTAACTTTCACAACTTAAAAGGTCATCAAACCAATTTTTGGTGCTAAGCTGAAACACAACCTGCTCTACTCGAGCAGAGCCTATTCCATCAAGTTCTGTTCACTAGTACTGAACAGTTAAATAGGAGAATTCCTTCCATGAAAATCATCACTTAAGATTTATAAGAAAAACAAAGCAACAAGATAATTCTATGCTTGTCAAAATATTCACATGAATGTATGTTCTTATCTATGGATTTTTCCTTGTGGGTGTACATCCCGCATACCAGTGGACTAGCCATGGTTCTTCCTACTGTGCAGTGGATCTAGATATCTTCTTTCTTTACTCCAAATACGTTAGGAGCATCATTCTTTTACTCCAGGTAACTTTAGGAGTATCTTACCTAGCCATTAGCTTAGGTATCATACCATAGATTCTATGCAGCATGTAAAATGATGCATTCTCATCTCATGTAATGCATATGCATTTCATACTAGTTGAATGTTCATCCCCTGTGCTAGTAAGATTAAAGGGCCAAACAGTGCAGATTTTCAACTAGAAAATCAACTTGAAATAAAACTTCAGAAAGTGCAGACAAGAAGAAACTATCAACAGAGGAAGTTCCTTTCTTTTGTTCACACACAACAGCATTGCATGTCTGTAAATCTGCATTTTAAACTCTACTTGCTGTGTGATGCAAAGGTTGCCATCAAACTGTAAATTTTAATTCCAACTCTTAAGTCTAAGTTAAACAATTACTAGAACTTACCTTCCTGCAGCCTTAAGTTAACAAAAACTCCTCCCAAAGCCTTCTTAAACTTGCTGCTGTTTCTGGGTTGCGGAACCTCCTTCTTTCCCTGTTTTTCCTCCGTTTGGTACCAGCAAATTTAGGATTCATGAAATAAGTTTAAGTCCTATTTTGAACCATGTATATACTTCTAGACAAAGTTAGTGGATTTTTAATGAGTTCCACTGACTTAGGTCCTCTATTTGATATATATATATATATATATTTTATTATCTTTCAGCAGCACTTGCCAAAAGCCAGCCAGTCAAATCTGGTAAAGTTGTCTGAAATTACCATGCAACCGAGCAAACCAGATTCTGATTTTCTGCCTAACCTCTTTTACTCAATGAAATTAATCTTTAAGGATAAAAAACTTATAAAATCTTACACTTTAGGACGGGTGTTTCGGCTTCTGACATTGGAAAATTTCAATTTATAGCCGAGTATGTTTTGTGCACTTACCTGTTCATAATCCAATAACTGATGATAATCAGCTCATTATTTCTTTATTTCAATTTTTGGGCTGTAAGGTTTTGATATTTATTGCAGATGGCTAGATGGGACAAGATTTTGTCCCTTCCCGTACAGAATCCCTTCCCGTACAGAATCCTTCGACCTTGGAGTTCTCTTCTGCAGATCTTGTATGGTCAAAGGTGGAAGGTTGGTGTGATAATATAGATAGAGTGGTTCTAATCCCCTTTGCTAGAGTGGATGACTTTGTGAGGGGTGAGTCCTCAAGCAAAGACTGTCCAACAAGGTTTCATGTTGAAACAAGGCGGCGGCGGAAACTACCAAAGGCACCGTACAAGCCCAAGGTTGATGGCATTCTTGAATACATATTGTAGGTTCCACCTCTAATTTTACTTTTTAAAAGCCAACACTCAACGTTTAAATTGTCTAATTCAAGTAATCTTGTTAAATTCGTATTGTAGGTATTGGTGTTCATATGGTCCTGATGACAACAGGGAGGGTGGAGTTGTGCGACCCAGCAGGAACACATGTATACGCAAGAAGACAAATGCTGGCCGACCTAATACTAAGAGAGGCTGCACCTGCCACTTCATTGTGAAACGGTTAATTGCTGAACCATCAGCAGCGCTGATCATATATAACCAAGATAAGCATGTCGATATAAAAGGATTACCATGTCATGGCCCTCAGGACATGAAGGCTGCTGGAACACAAGCTATGTTTGCCCCATACATCTCAGAGGACCTCCGTCTCCGTGTGCTATCTTTACTACATGTTGGGGTCTCTGTAGAGACCATAATGCAGCGGCATAATGAATCTGTAGAGAGACAGGGTGGTGCAAACAATCGGGATGACCTTCTCACCCATAGGTATGTTCGAAGACAGGAGAGGAGCATACGACGTTCTACATACGAATTGGATGCAGATGATGCTGTCAGTCTAAGCATGTGGGTTGAAAGCCACCAGACTCATGTTTTCTTTTATGAAGATTTCACTGATTCGGGCCCTTTCATTTTGGGCATACAAACTGAGTGGCAGTTGCAGCAAATGATTCGATTTGGCAATCGCAGCCTCATAGCTTTTGATTCAAGGTTTGGAACAAACAAGATCAAGGTTTGGTTCACTCTTCCACTCTCTCAATTGTGTAATTCAGTTGATGATTTCACAATCACTTCCATGAGGGGCTTGCAGTATGAAACTAACCATACTATTTGCTTTGTTTATGTTTAGTATCCTGTTCAGAGTCTCCTTGTGTTCAATTCAGACAAGAAAGCCATCCCAGTGGCTTGGATAATAGCACCTGCATTTGCTAGTGGGGATTCACACAGTTGGATGAGGGCTTTGTACAACAGAGTTTGCACAAAAGATCCTACTTGGAAGTTGGCTGGGTTTATAGTGGATGATCCTTTGACTGATGTCCTTGCAATCAGGTTGGCTGCAAACTCCCTTGTTTCAAAGTATCACATTATTCTTGTCTCATGTCATTGCAGAATGATAGGAGTTTATGAAATTGGTTCTGTTATATAACGAATGGCATGTGATTTTTTTTGCATAATCAGAGATGTATTTGAGTGTTCTGTGTTGATATCTTTCTGGAGGGCTCGCCATGCATGGCATAAGAACTTATTGAAGAGATGTTCAGAAACTGAGATGTGTGCTGAGATGTCAAGGCAACTTGGGCAAGCAGTAGATGATGTCTTCCAAAAGCAAGGAAATCTTGAACCGTTTGAGAATTTCATGGAAGATTTTGTGGATTGCTCGAATTTTATGGATTACTTCAAGGCAATCTGGTATCCTAGAATAGGTTAGTATCAACCCTTTTTTTTTCTTTTTCTTTTGTTGCTTTATTTTCATCTTCAAATCTGCTTTACATCTTTAACTGAACCCATGATTTAGTTAGCCACTTTTAGGACTGACATTTACTCCTAAGTGATAATGGGTAATGTGGTCTCCATGTAATAAATTACAAAGAAACAGACTGATTGACACAGCAATGGTAATTGGGAAGAAAATGAACATTTCTTTTTTTGTTGAATGAAAGATAAGTAGCTTGAATTTGATTAAAAAAAATATGTTTTCTCCTATGTGAAAGCCCCTTAATGTCAGGAAGAAACTGAAAAACGAGATATCTCTTTGGTTTCAGGATCTTGGATCACTGCACTGCAAACTCTTCCAATTGCAGGCCAGGAGACTTGTGCTGCAATGGAATTTTACCACAATCAATTGAAACTGAGGTTAATAAATGAAAAGGATCCTATTGTCTACCAACGAGTTGATTGGTTGGTTTATAAGTTGGGTACAAAAGTACATTCCTACTTTTGGCTGGATGAGTATTCAGACAAAGATGACTTTGCAAGATATTGGAAAGATGAGTGGGTCAGTGGATTAACATCTTGGCGCCAGGCATTAAAGATTCCAGATTCTGATGTTGTAGTTGAAACTAGATTTGCAAAGGTGATTGACCAGCTTCATCGAGATAGAACTCATGTTGTCTGGAATCCTGGTTCACAGTTCAGCATCTGTGATTGCAGTTGGGCAGAAATGGGCTACCTTTGTGAGCACATATTTAAGGTTATGAATCTCTGTCGTAAAGAAGGGTCTATTTTGCCATCTACCAACCTACTTCAGTACAAGAAGGCTTTATTTGACATGCTTCACTGCCCACCTCATGATTCCTTGATTCGTGATCATGCCTTTTCTTTGGCACTCTTTATACACAAGCAGCTAAATGCACCAACTGATCTTATTCATAAACAAACTGAGAATGCCACTGAACAAGATGCAAGCTGTTATGAAGGCCAGAGAAAAAGATACAAGTTGATATGATGAGATGATTGGTGATAAGAAAATCTTTAATTATGAGAATGAAAATTTATGGGAAATGTATCAGGAGAGTCTGCAAATACCCATGTGTGCTGGTCCTGCCATTTGTAAGGGCTCTTTTCTTTTTTTTTTCTTTTTTTTTTGTTTATACATTTCATGAATTTAAGATAACCATAAAAACATGCCAGGTAAACCAGAGCATCATCAAATTTTAACAAACTCAATAACATTGTCCTATAAAGCATTTACCTTATAGTAATTACTTCTTTTCATCTTTTTTTTTTTAAACTGGGTCATTCACTTGACTGCTTTTAGGTTTTTTATGATCTGTGATTATTGGTCCTTGTCTACCAATTTCAGTTTTGTGGTTTCTGACTGTGTTTATTTTTCCTTTTGAGACTTTTAAACAGGTCCCTTTTGAAAAAATACATTGAGATCATTTCGTTCTTGGTTTGATTCTGGACAAGGGATCTGAATTTTAGAGAAGAAAATTGGAATCAGGTAAGGGTTTTATGATTTTTCTTTGAGAAACTAACTAGACTGCAACATGTCCCTTGAAGTGCTTTTGGTTTTTCTTTTTGGTAAAATTTTATTGGATGAAATTCTTAATTTTCAGTTAAATAGAATCATGTCCTAGATGGGAAAAGAAGTAGCCAAAAGTAAGTTAGTATAGAGTGGTGGATCTGTTCTTTAGTTTTAGTTGTTTTCAATTTTGTCTTGTTTAGATGAAAGTTTTCTGCTGGTGGAGATTTAGGGAGGTTAAGGGAACTGTTATATGATGGAAGTGTGAGGAGTTGAGAAAGTAAAATCTGTTAGGCTAGTGTTTAGTGCAAGTGAAGATGCTTGTTTTTTGGGTTGTTTTGGTTAAGGATGATTAGTCTGATAAAAATATTTTGTTGAGTAGAAAGATTCCTTAGATGGTTGAAGAAAAGAAGCAAGAATTTCTTTTTCAAATTAATTGTCTTAGGGCTCTTTTGGTTGGCAGGGTAGCTATACCTTGGTGAAATCATAAATTTAAAGCATGACATAGAAGGAATGACTATTCCTTGCTTTCACCAATTTTCTAGTATGTTAAGAGAGAATTGTTGAAATTGGTTGACAGTGTTATTAGCTATTACCACCTTGTTTTTTCTTTTTGGAACAAAATCGATGCAATTAATGGATAGCCATTGCTAATAGGCCTTGCACTCTCTGCAACGTTTTACCAAGGAGACCCATTTCATTCAACCAAACATGACCTTAGGTTTTATTTGGAATCTTTTAATAGGATTTAGGATTTTCATTTTTGAGGTTGAAGAGATAACAGTTCTTGCTTATTAGTTTAAGTACAAAACAGTTTGTTTAGTCTCATATTTGATCCATATATCCATCTTTTAGGATTTTTTGTATTATTATTATTTTTTTTGAATAAATGTGAAGGATAAAACTTAAATTCAATTTCTTTAATAAAGGTTGGCATTAGAGTAGTGTAATAGATTCCTCCAAAATGACCTTTAATGCTTTTTTTTTTT